CACACTCTACACCCAATCCACTGTGTTGGCTTTGCCTTCAGAGCATTCTCAGGATCTGAACACTCATCACCCCTCTGCCTCCACTCTGGTCTGACCCCAGCCAGCGTCTCTCACCTGCTGGATTGCAATAGCTTGTTGAGCGTCCCTGCTTCCCGTCCGTTCCTATACAGTCGATTCCCAGCCCGGAAGCCAGCATTATCCTGCAAAAACGTAAGTCAGAACACATCACACTTCTGCTCACAACCCTTCCGTGGGTTCCCAAGCAACACAGAAGAAGGCAGTGCCCTTGCATTTGATGACCTGGCCCTGTAGGAGCTGCGTCCCCAGATGCAGCCTGCCTCGTCTCACCTGCTCGTCCTGCTGCTCACCTGTCTCTGGATCCACGACCTCCTTGCTGAGCCCTGAGCACACCAGGCAGCTGTCAGCTCAGTTCTTTAAAGGGGCTGTTCACACCCCTGAGCGCTTTTCCCTTAGACACCCCCTTTGCTCCCTCAGCCTCAGGGTTCTGCTCACAGCTGCAGTGAGGCGTTCCTTCCCGACTTATTCAAAGTTAGAACTCTGCTCCCCTTGACCCTCCTACATTGTCTTCTGCGCTTTATTTTTTCCTTAGTAGTCATGAGTATCTCACATTTTGTATCTGTACTGTGCATCTGCGTAGGGCCTCTCACAGCAGAATGTCAGCCCAGGAGGACAGGGACATTGTTCTCTTCTCTGTCTCTGTAGCACCCAGAACCAGGGCTGACACGTAAAAAATCAGTAGCTATTTGTCGAATAAGTGGATGGATGAAACATCCCCGACATCAGTCTACTACTATTCTGTTTATACAAATGACAGAAAATCCTGTGTGCATCAATGGCTAAATTATGTAATTTTTAAAAAAATGAGTGAATACACTCAATACACTAACAGTGTATTTGCATTCCGCCCCAAATTAACTACAAAATATACTTTAACAATTTAAATACCCATCTCCAACTTACCTGAAATGACCAGTAGATTCAGTGGAAGAGGAAACAAAAAGAAGAGGCAGGAGGAGGACTTTTAGAATCTTTCAAAACGAGAGTGTTTGCTATTAAAACAAAACGAACAAACTCCACAGCTAAAGCCAGGACTGAATGGCTCCAGGTAAACAGGACAGTCTGAAGATCTGTGCTCATCAGGGAACCTCACCTCATCCTGCTACTTTGTTTCAGCAAGTCCTCTGGTTCCCATTCTGGAAACCAGATCTAACTCAATTCTCTGGACTAAAAAAAAAAAAGTTAGGATTTGTTACTGGAATCTTAGCAAATGGAGCAATGATACTCAAGAGTGAAATGGTACTTCTGGGCTTAGTTGCAAGCAAAATTATACATTTATATGGAATGTTGTAATAGTAGTGGTGCTGATAAAATAAAAAGCACCACGACCTCATGAGGTACATATAAGCACCCTGGCATAGGAGAATGTCCCTGATGGAGGGGAACATGCTGGCCGATGGGATGATTTCCTCTTTGGAAACGTAGAGGGATTGACACATTAAATTATAAACACCAGCAAAAGGCGATGATCAGTTTCAATTAACACCCTCCACCCATCATGAAGAACTGAGGGTTGTTCTGCTCAGCGGTTAGAGCATCTGCCCGCGGACCAGTGCGTCGAGGGTTCGATTCCAGCCAAGAGCACGTACCTTGGTTGTGGTTCGTCTTCGGCCCTGGTCCGGGTTGTGCGGGAGGCAACCAGTCAATATGTCCCTCTCACGTCAATGTTTCTCTCTCTTTCTCTTTCTCTCCCACCCACTCTATCTAAAGATAAATAGAAAAATATCCTTGGGTGAGAATTAAAAAATATATTCTAAATGTAAAAACTCAATGTCGCAGCCAAAGGGCCTACCGGTAGTTTATAAAGAGGACTAGGCTCGTGGACTTCAAAGACAGCAGCATCCCCGCCAAGGCACACGTGCAAGCTAAACTCAGCACCCTGGGAGGGAAGCTGGGACCCCGACACGTGGGCTGGAGATGTCTGAATGGGTACCCCCAGAGGTGGTGGCTCTCCAGAATTACTGAGCCCTTGAAGCTAGAGGAGTCTCATTCCTCCTTATGAAGAGCTAGGACTTTCCAGACATGAGCCCTCTCCCCCAGGAGGCTCCCCTCAGGACGTGTCCCCACCTTCTCCTGGATGCCAGGCTGACTGTGGTTAGATCCCAGGAGGAGCCCAGCTGCACTCGCTAGGTCTGAGAAAGAAGAGAGATTACACTCCAAAGCAGTTGCAAAATGTAACAAGCAAGTATTAGCAGGAGCCAGGGGGGTTGGACTCTAAGGATGCTTGAGCCAACAAACAGAAGCGGGGATGAGAAGGGACTCCGCACACCCAGAGGGTGCGTCCTTCTAGCTAAACTGCCGAGAAACACAGTGGAAGAAGGCGAGTCCTTCGTCATGGCAAAAAACAAACACAAAGTCCGAAACGAGGACCTATCATAAATGACTGTCACTAAACATTCTGCTAAAAACTCCTTTGGGTGGAAAAGGGGTCATGTTTCGGATATATAAAATATGTAAAATCTGGGAAAACCGAGGGCTACGTAGCCTGGACGTTGGGGCCAGAATGCTGGGGTTCAGAGTCCCGCCTTCCCACTTGCTAGGTGGGTGACCCTGGGTGTTTCTCAAGGTCAGTGTTTTACTCCCACCATCAAAATGAGAGCGGTGGTAGTATGTACCCCACAGAGTTGCGATGATGAGGATTAAATGAGCTAATATGGGAAAAAGGTTGCTTAGAACACTGCCAGGCATATAGTAAGCATTATATACATGCTTTTAAATAAAATAGAGTACAATGGAGATTTCTTACATTATTATTTCCAAAGACTTAACCTCTTTGACCTCATTAAAGAAAAAAGACTTACTGACATTTCCTGAGACTGTCTTTTATGTTGCCACGTTTAAAGCAGAACTCTTTTGTTTTTATGAGACCAGAAGCTCCAAATGTCAAGTGTATATCAAACCTTTAGTTGGATTTCGAAGTGCATTGAATAAAATAATAGATGACCAAAAAAGATTATCAAATGAATACTTTATTAGCGTCATAACACTTATAAAATAAATTTCATTGTGGAGTTACCAGATTTTAAAACCAACCAACACTTTCTCAGTTTTACAGCTAAGATATAGACAGACATTCTCAAGTGCCATAATTTGAGAATGCTTTGCCACTCAACTCACAAATCTAGAACACGATTAATCTGCAAATCTAAGTCTTCACAGTCAGACGAGTTGCAGGCTTGGTTCTTCACGATCCAGAGCAATCCACTTACCAAGTGCCACCAAAGCAGTTTTGTGAAATCATTTAAGTTAATGCCACTGAGCATGGACCGGTTATATTCTGGAAATGAAGATAAAATCTCAGGACTAAACCTAGTAGACTAATTAAACAGTTCCAACTAGCAAGGACTATGTATCCTTATGGCACATTTATGACTTAGTAATATATAGTTCATAATACAAGTGTGTGTGGCATGGTGCTAAAAAACCAAGGAGGTCGGATACTACAGAAAAGATGGGGCATGAGTATCAAGTCCTAAGACTGAATCCTCTCGCCACATACTGAAACGAGTCTTGTATCTTTATAATGACATCACGGACTCGAATACGATTGTTCTTTCCAGGGGATTTTTACATAAAGAGCATTTGTTCACTGAGCATTGATCATGCTACTCATTCAGGACTGTCCTATGCTCCACGGAATCTGACAGCCTGACTGGTTCATGGTGCCCTTAGGGGCTGATTCAGCCACAAAAAGCAAAGGGTTGAAAGTGCAGAATAATGACAAAGCCCTCTTCCCCAGATGTAGCCCTCTGGAGGCAAGAGATGAGTACCTTGTGCGAACAGCGTGGGGCGGGGAGCCGGGACCTAACTTCTCCCGCCAAAGCCACTGGCCCCTTTCACCACCAGGGTCTCTGTGGGGTTAAGGCTCTCCCTGTGCTCATCAGCCACACCCAGTTTTTGTGAGTGCAGCAGCTGTTTTAAAGTGGATTCGGTGCATCTGTCAGCAATGCAGACGTGACCTAGGTCTCAGGGCTATTGTCAGAGCATTAAGAATCGACACCGTGAAGCTATATTTAATGATCTATTTAAACTCAACTCAGAAAGTAATGTAAAATAATTAGAAGTAAAAAGCCGACTCTTTGGAGAGCTCCATCTGGTAAAGCCTCCTAGCCACACACAAATACCTGTATACTCATGCACAGGGCGAACAGCTATATTCTGAAGCATAAATAAATCCAAAGTAAGACACAGGTAGCTGGATACCGTCCCGGCAGTGGTTAATGGCCTCTGGAGACCTCATTGAAGGATGCCAGATGACAGTTTGGCTCAGGTATTAGGAGACCCTGTTCGATTGAGCAACTAGGGTTCACGTAATAAATTACTTTTTCCTATACTCAAGACCCTGCTTGAATTAGCTTGAGAAATGATTTCCCCTTCAAGGGTAAGTATTTGACCATTAACACAAAGGCGGTATGATTATTGCATAAGGAGACTAACTGGCTTGTCTAATTAGCTTTATACCTTTCGGGATCAGTTCGATAAAACACAGAATGCATAACTAAGGTTTCACACCAGAGGTCAGAGGTCAGCACACTATAGCCTGCCCTCAGGCCTAATCTAGCCCGCTGCCTGCTTTTGTTAATAAAGTTTTATTGGAACACGGCCACACTCACTCATTCACATATTGTCTATGGCTGCCTTCTTCATGTAGTAACAGAGGTGAGTAGTGGTGACAGAGACCGTTCGGGCCATGACAGAGAAAGGGTGCCAATCTCTGTTTACACTAGAAGACAGCGTTCAGTGGGAAGCCTATTTAAAATGTGGGGTTTTTTTTGGGGGGGGGGGTTAGTTACCTATCAAAAATTAAGGTTCACAAGACTTAGCAACTGAACAAAAGAGAGACCTTTTTTTCATAAACAATATTTTATGGCTATAAAAGAAAATTTTCTTTATGAAAAGAAATAAAAAGAAAGAAACTGATGTAAAATTAAAGGCCATTTCTCTGTTTAATATCATAATAAAATTCAAAGTCTATCCTTGAAATAAGCCAAAACTGGACCTGGGCTCTCTCCATAGACTAAACAAACTGCTTTTGGACTGTTGTTGTATCTGGACAAAATGGTACCCAAATTGATCAGACATATCAAGTAGACAAAGGAAACGAACACACAGTTTCTAAGGAGTGTCACGGTCGCCATCTTCGTAAAGCCAGACCCAAACTGCAACCATAGCAAGCTGTCGTCACAAAGGCAAAAATCTGCGGAAAAAGAAACAAAAAGTTCTCGTCAGATTTAGAACCCGACTTTAAGAAAACCCTCGCTCTTACAATCGCCTGAAGTCTGACCAACCTACCCGAAAGAGACTTCAAATGGTTCATATTCATCTTTTAATTTTTGGTAATTTGTAGTACTTCTTGCAAAGATTCCAGCCCCTAAGAATTCTCTCATCTGTAGCAGCCGCGGGTGGACACTCACGCCCAGACTGGGACCACCTGCTCAGTGCGTGTGACAGCAGTACTCCGAAGTTCGTTAGGAGGTGTCTGTTCACACGGTGATGTCACGGCCAAGGAGAGTGCTACTGTCAGGACTGGGGGACGGAGCCCATCATTTCTGTGACCCAAGAAAACTCATAGAAAGAAATCATCCTGTTGGCATGGGAGAGAGTCCTCGAGTCTGCACTCAGCTCTGAACTGCTGTCCTTAGGATTCAACAAGGATGTCCTTAGCACCAACTGTGTACATCAGAACGTTAGGTCCATACAAACATACAGCAGGTACTGTCCTGACCATTTGGGGGGTTTACAGTCTATAGAAAACTACACGACCAAACAATTAAATATGATAAAGCATCATTATTTAGTGCAGGGATCTTTTACCAGGAATGTATAGCTATGAGAGGGAATATCAGATTAACCTACGAAATACTTTCACAGTGTAATTTCTCTTCTGCTAGTTGTCTCTCTGACACTTTTCTAATCTAGATATTGCTAAATAAGAATGACCACATTTTTTTTTTTTTAATCCTCACCCAAGGATATTTTTCCATTTCTCTTCAGACAGAGTGGGAGGGAGGAGGGAGAAAGAGAGAGAGAGAAACATCAATGTGAAAAAAACACATTGATTGGCTGCCCTGCACAACCCCGACCAAGGCCAGGGACCGAACTGCAAAATGAGGTACGTGCCCTTGACTGGAATCGAACCCGAGACTCTTTTGTCCAAAGGCCATCACTCTAACCGCTGAGCCAAACCAGCCAGGGCCAGAATGACCACTTTTGATAGCTATTATTAGCGAAGAGCAATTTTCCTCTCTCTGAGGCATACTGAAATAAAAAGAAAAGTGAGGGATTCAGTATTATGTTGCAAATGAACAGCTCCTGCCTTTAGTATTATTAAAACTCAGAATACACTGGAGTATGTGGAGGAGCCAGCACTTGATGTGGCACTTCAAGCTCTGGAAGTCTGCTGAGGCAGCTTCACACAGAAGTCAGAGAAAGGATAACAGGGACAAAACACAGAATTGACTCACTACAAAGAACATTGAACACTGAGCTCTTAGGGCAAAGGAACATTTGTGAAAAGTTCATGACATCAAGTGCTTGAGCACCTATTATTCTCATGAAAGTAGGACCTTAGGGCAAGTACAGATAAATCAATATGGGGCTACTTCAAGACCTAAGAGATGTAATGAGAATCTAGCCTGCATCACTAAAAAGGAGCAGATGGAAGTAGGAAAGGAAAAAATCTATCAGGAGTAGATGACTAACAGGAAGAACACTTGATGCAAAGGAAAAAAAAGAGCCAATTTCAAGTCCCTGAATTTTGCTTTGTAAAATTGTTGAAACCACCGGTTTCCTAGCTGTGACCCTTGGATCACACGGCTTCTAAGACGGCCCCTCAGAGATGATGAGGTGGATAGAGGTGGCTTTATGAGAAGGATGGATGGGCATCATTCAAGACCCTCCTTCCCCACTCCAACTGGGGCATGCACGCTTTTAACTTCCACACTCATTGGGTTTTAAGTAAGATTTCATTAAGTAACACAGTTACATTTCTGACAAAAGAAAGTATAAAAAAACCGAGCTGCATGCCTTTCAAAGCTAGAACCACTCCTCCTTTCTGTTGCAGTCCCATCTTCTAAGTTGTTCACTGTAGACCATGAAACACCCTGACAATCCTGCCAGACTTGGGAAACTCAGGGCCGTGGGTCTTGGAATCATTGGTCCTCTCCCCTTCCAAAGACAGACCCTGGACCTGTGCTGTCCCATATAACAGCTACTAGCCACATGTGGCTATTTACATTTAAATGTAAATTAATTAAAATAAATGATTTAATTAATGAGTAGCAATCATATTAGACAGTGCATATATAGAACACTTCAAACATTTTTGAAAGTTCTATCGGACAGTACTGCTTCAGACATTTTTGTTTTGTTTTTGTTAATCCTCACCCAAGGATATTTTTCCATTGATTTTTTTTTTTTTTTTTTTTTAGAGAGAGTATAAGGGAGGGAGGGAGAGAAAGGGGAAGAGAGAGAGAGAGAGAGAGAGAGAAACATCCATGTGAGAAAGACACATTCATTGGTTGCCTCCCACATGTGCCCCAACCAGGGCCGGGGACTGAACCTGCAACGCTTTGGTGCCCAGGAGGACACTCTAACCTGAGTCACACCAGCCAGGGTCAGACATACCTTATGGCTATATGGGAAGTCCTGGTCTGTTTATATGCTATCTATGTAAAAACATCAGAATCAAAAATTTGCTATATAGTCACAGTACATAAATATCAAGAGATTTCAGGGGAGAATTTAGATGTCTGACATCTTAAAATGATCTATAAAAACAGAAATACTGTATCATTTATTCAAATTACCTATGTCAATACAAAATGATAAACTCACCTAAGACTATGAATTAAGAGAGAAAATCATTTCAAGAATTCCCCACGAAAGGCCGGTCATCTCTCTACCACCCTTTAAGGGCTAGCATATGCATCTCCCCACGTCCCTGGGTTTTCCTCAGTGGCAGGAACTGTGCCTCATCCATCCCTGTCCCCAGCACCCAGCAAATTACCTGGCTCATGGGAGGCTCTCAGTAAATATTCACTGGATTCAAAGGAATTACAAATAGGTATCGAACCCTGAAGAACAAATCTCCTTCACCACGTCTGAAGTTACAAGAAGTAAAAGGCGCAATGAATTCTTTCCACAGAGTGGACTTTGTTGTGCAAGGCATCCACTGCCACTGACGCTATGATCTTCCATGAATGTCACCCTCCGTGTCCTGCGGTCTCGTCACCCGCAACACCAGGGGTCAGAGCAGTACTTTGCTCATAAGGTTGTTGTACAGACACATAGCGATTCCATGTTTAATGCTAACGAGCATTATTAAAGAAAACCACGTTGCCTGCGGAGTTACCTGCAGACCTTGGCCGTGGTCACCGAACACTTACCGTAGCTGCCACGTTTATGTTGTACTGGTTACTACTCAGGAGAGGCTGCAGGGCCACGGTGCTGTTGCAGTGCAGACCGTGCAGGGAGGTGGCTGCTGCTTCGAGGACGAAGGCTCCGAAGTAGAAGACGAACACTGTAAAATGGTAAGCAAAGTCCTGAAAGAGGGGGAAAGAGAGACACCATCACACACACGGTTTCTGCTCCTTCTATCAAATGGTGAAGTTTAGGTTCAGGAAGATTAGAACATTCCATCCGTCGTGAACCACAGTGGCCACTTCTTGTGGCTTCTTTGCAATGTCAAGCTATCAGAATCCAAATGAAAATCAACTGTCCCAATGTAACTGACACAGTGGCAAACCTTCTGATATACTGAGTTTTAGAATGAAGTATGTAATTTTAGTTTATATTAGGGTGCCATAGAGAGCAACATTAATTAACATAACATAAAAAGGAATAACACAGGCTGTCCTTAAAATTTAAGTAAAATAGCATTCAAATTACATCTTGCCATTATATTTATTATAAAATAGCTATATTACTGTAATATATTATACAGTTATATAATACTATGTAAACACACATTTTATAATTAGGTATTTTATTTTTTAGCAATTATTATTTTTATCTATTAGATTGTCACACTATACATTGAAAGATACAGAAGATCTATGATACCACAATTCAAAACATATCACCCAACATTCTAAAAAAATAAAATAAAATAAAATCATATACTTCTACAATAAGTATAGGAACTTTTCATATAAAATTTAACTGTTGTTAGATTATTGCTGGCATTAATATAAAGCATAACTCTACCAAAATTCACATCATTTTACCTGAATTAATAATATATCAACAACACACTGCTTTGTATTTTTGTTAAGAGTTCCCAGGTCGTAGTTCCTTACGACCACTAATTATTATCCCCATTTTACAAATAAGAAATTTCTTCTTTTTAATTTTTTTAGTTAAGTGACTGTCTCGAAGCCACACAAAGATCAACTTTGGGAGGGAGAACTTAAGCCCACATAGGTCTGCCTGGTTCCAGAGTCCACTTTTTATTTTATTTTATTACATATTATATTTTGATTTCACCATTTCTCCCAACACTAGAAATCCTGGGAAAAAATACTAAAGACATCTACCACGCATGTTAATTTAATTTCGCAATCAATAAGAGCTAGAAGCTATAAATATTTTAGTTGATATCCACAACAAGTACTTCTACAAAATGAATTCTTTATCGAAATGCCCTCTTGCTTCTTTCGTGAATGGTACACAGGCAATATTGAACCATTATCACAGGGGGAAACAATTATTTTTTTTCAGCACTTAATGTCTAACAATTTCAGAATGCAGCCCTTCAAAACTGTTACCATCTGGTGACGCTGATATGCAGGGCTCAAACATCGTCTAGGCGGAGAGTGTATAAGATATATTACAAAACCTACCAAAAGCAACCAGGTGGTCAGAAGTGCAGACTATACTGAAAATCTCAAAAGAGAAAGAGAACTCGGAACCACTGCTAAATATGGCAAGCATTGAAATAAACGCCTGGATGGCAAGAGCTGGCTCTTTGAAAGTGTGCCCACCACACAGCGGGCCTGTGCAGTGACCTCCACTGTGCTGGGTGCTGGGTGCTGGGTGCTGGGTGCGGCCATTACCATTTTTGCCCTCAATAAGAATGGACTGATCTAGCTGAGAAAAGAAAAGCACGCACACACACACACAGGATAACCTTTACAAGTGACTTATGGAACAGATTGGCAGGTCTTTCTACTTTCTTAGGAAACCTAATACATTAAAAAGGATTATGAATGACTACATTCAATATCAAAGATAAGACTCAATAGAAATAAAAAGGAAAAGGATGGTATGAACTAATCAAACTAGGAGTGCTATCAGACCAATATTTCAGCATTGACGAAGAACGTGCCGTAGCCCACTAGAAAAGATGCTGGCCCGCAGGATCCTGGAGACTCATTCACTCTCCAATAATTAGCCCTTTTGCTGCCGAGCCAGCAGCAGGGCCAGGAGGGTCCCAGGGGTGAGGAAGGCCACAGCCCCGGAAGAGGCAGCAGGTCGAGGCAATGCCCGTGTACTGACCAGCACCAAAGCACCAGTAGGGCTACACTGGCACACACTGGTCAAACGCCACCTTTGAACCTGATACTAGAATGGCCTGGTGGTGCTTACCAATGTTAGGGACAGACTGGTTTATTCATACTTATTATAGGAAAGCCAGCCATTTAGAAAGAGGAAATTAGGCATCTCTCTATGTGTAACTTAAATGGGGACCTTTGATCTTCATCATTTGGCCAATTACTAGACAGATTGGCTCATCATTAATACATCACGTACCGCATAGAAATCTCTAAGACATAGGCCAGGGACCACATGTTTTTGGGCAAAATGCACATTAGGGTCTGAGCTGCATGTATTAGGGTTTGAATCAGCAGATATCCATTCCCTAGCTACTTCAAGAATACAGAACGGTGTGCTGTTTTTCGACCTTCGACCCTCAGGGCGAAGAGTCACAAATACAATAATCCTATATTACTCTGAGTTTCAAAAACTGAAATAGCTAATGCAAGTGCAAACCCGAGTTAACTCGTGCGCAGTCCGCAACATTTGGGCAGGAAAACACGCGTTAACTCGTGAGCAGTCTAAAATGTGTTAATGAGAAACCAAGGCAAAAAGGTCAGAGCACCCTGTATCAGCAACCTAAGACACGGAAGGACTCTCCGGTTCCCATTGCAAGCCTCGGCGTGTCTGAGTGATGACGATTACTGACCACTTCCTATGAACCAGACCAAAGCTGAGCATTTATAACCCATTAATTCCATGATTCCTTAACAGCACCTAGTGAGGCAGGTACAATTATTACCACTTAACAGAAGAAGAATGTGAAATTCATAGAGGTTTGCTGTTTTGCCAAAGGCCACACACTTATCAAGCAACCCAGACCTGACCTTGAGGCTTGTGCCGGATCATCACCACTGTGCACACTTAGCCCTTAACTTTCCACTCACCCCTGCTGCTCGCCCCTGGCTGGTCTAACGCAGGCAGCCACATTCGCCGGAAGACAGCCCTCCTCCTGCTCTACAAATAAGACGAGAACGAACAATTTGCCTCTAACAGCTGTCCTAAAGCTGCTGAGCAAACTGCTACCATACTTGGAAGGGATGTGTACACTCCTGACCGAAGGCCTGACTTACGGGATCGTCATGAACTTGGTCAGAGCGCTGTCCACCGTGGACTGAATTCCCACCCCACTGGGCCACTTTGAGACTGGCCCAGAGAAGGAACAACCACAAGCATGAAAGAGGCCCCCATGTTACATGGGGAAAGGAAAATAAGTTGATCCAATTTAATGGCGCTGTAATTTTAAGAAGTGTGCCGGCTGCAAATTCATTTCTTAAAATGACCAACTCTTGATAATGCAGAACAGGAAATGAAAATGCAGGCAACGCCTGGTTGTATTGTGCCTTTGCTTTATTGCGCTTCTCAGATTTGTGATTTTTACCAACTGAAGGTGGCAACCCTCAGTCCAGGGAGATTTTTACACTGTTTTTCTAACAGCATTTGCTCACTTCATGTCTCTCTGTCACATTTTAGTAATTCTCACACTATTTCAAACTTGTTCATTATCATTGTATTTGTTACGGTGATCTGTGATCAGTGACTTCTGGTATTACGATTCTAATAGTTTTGGGGTGCCAACGGTGCCCACATAAGACGGCAGACGCGGTGAAGGTCGTGTGCTCTGCTCTGGTTGCTCCCCACTCGCTCCCTGACCTCCGGCCTCCCTTTCCCGAGACAATGTTGAAACTGGGCCAATGAAAACCCTAGCATTTTTTAACAATAAAGTATTATTTATATAGGTGTGTACATTCCTTTTTTACACACAACGCTAGTGCACACTCCAAAGACTGCAGTATAGTGTAAACAGGACTTTATATGCCCTGGACACAAACACCGTGTGTGGCTCACGGTGCTGTCCTGTTGACTTTGTAGCAGTGGTCTGGACCCAAACCTGCAATGCCCCAAGGTCTGCCTGTACACAGAAACCATCCCTTTTTCTTTTCTAAATATTTGGAGAATAGAATATATGGGTACACGTTTTCTGAAAGGAATGTATGTATTTAATATCTGACGCAGAAACCGATGGAAAATTTTAAGATATATGTCACAGGATCCGTCTATCAAAGGCCTGAATGGTTCAGTAACTATACTCCAATTCATCTGTTGTCTGAATTAAATCCGTCTTTGAGGAAGGTCATCTAACTCATAAAGGAGGAACAGAAAGACTGCTCGGCTCTATCAGTGCAGGGATCTCCCAAGCCGGCCCAGCTGTCCAGCAGGTCAGCAAGATCGTCGCTGCGGTCTGACCTTCCCGCTCCCGCTGAGGCAACACACAGGACAGAGATCGGGCATTTCGGGGCAGAATGAGGTGGCTGTAAGTTTCCCACATTTTCCTGAGAAAAGACTTAAACATCCCTTACCAGGAAGTTCCAGTTGGCATCAATCTGAGTCACCATGCCAGAGAGGAACACCCCCAGGAAGAGGAGGGAAAGGGTGAACGCCGTCACGGACACGAACATGACCCATCCTTGCAGCAGAGGTAGAGGAACATTGGAGGACGCAACCAAAATCCAGACGAGTCCCCCGAACAGCTAAGGGCAAAAAGAAAAATGGCGGTAAGTTTGGGCAACAGAACTGAACATGCCTGTCAGCCTTACCATCCCCTTACTTCTCCCAAGCCCGGCATACGCCCCTGCGCCCACCGTCCCCTGTCCCGTGCCATGCTGGAGGCCGTCCTCCCTCGGGGGCCAGCCCAGCGCGTTCACTCGCAAGCCCAACGGACCCACACCTGTCTGCACCTGCTTCGTGCCGGACTCTCGTCCCCAGCCCGAGAACAGGTCCAGCATGTTCCATCATCTAAAAATATCTCCTTGGACCTCGCCGCCTCTCTAACGACGAAGTATTTTCCTTTTCAGTCAACCATTTTTACACATTCATCTTTCCTGGGCTCCATCTCTTCTTGGCGTTACTGGTAAAACCACTGGACAGTAGGCCTGCTCCCACCACGTCTCAGAGTTTATCAGCAAAGATAAGCCACGACTGTCTAGCTTGTCGCTTCTAATGGCCATGGTTCAGTCCTTGTCAGGACCTATTTGTACGTGTGACATGATCGCCTGTCTATAGAATAAAAGTTCCAGCTGTGGTACAGGACAGTAACCGATAAAACCTACCATCATTTATTGATACACCCTTGGGCGCTGGGCGTGGAAACGGGTGCTTTAGATAGTCACAGCTCTAATTCAATACATACCTCCTGTCTGCCGGGCCGTGCCCGCTCCAGAAACACCTGGTAAACCAGCCACACTTGGACTCCCATCACAGGATTCAGTCTCTTACAGCAAAGAGCCAGTTAAGCAAGGGACTAAAATGCTGCTTCGTACACGTCATAATTGAGCAACTACTGAGTGCTGCAGGTCCACCCAATGAGGGCTCTGAATCCAGACCGGAAAAGCCAGAAAATATTCTCTGGAAGCAGTAACCCAAAGGACAGGGCTGGGGGGGAGCAGGGTCAGGAGAAGGCTGCTCCAGGCCAGGAGGTGAGCGCTGAAGGTCAGCTCAAGGAGTGACCCTCCCCCAAGGGCAACGGGAGGCCACAGAGGGTCTGGAGCACGAAGGAGCACGACCAGATTTGCCTTTAGACATTTCTCTCTGGCCAGAGTGCGACACAGACGGGAGAGGAAAGGACGGATATGAGGACCACATAGGAGACTTACAGCAATGGAGTATAAACAGACTCAGGGCCCTGAGCACAGAGACATGAATAGATTTAGACAGAAATTTAAAAAGCGGACAGGATGGTAGTTGGTGGCTGACCAGATGGGGGGCCATGACAGCAAAAGATCACACAAGGAAAATACCCAGATTTATGACCAGGGCGACTAGGAGCGAGGGAGGGAACGCGGGGGAGAGATGGTTAGGAGTGAAGACAGTGAGTTAGGATCTAACAGCAGCAGTCTCCTCCACACCACCAACCAGCGAGGCTGCCCATCCTCTGCATGGCGTGCCCGGCCCTTCATGGTATAACCTGTCTTTTGCATCCTTGCCTCTTGTCACCAAGTCTCTCCTATTTTACACTAGGGGGGCAGGGGAGCCATGTCCAAAGACAAAGCTCTTTCATGTCTGAATGGCCTGACATACGCTGGTCAAGAATGTCATTCCCTCCCCCTTGTGTGTTTGAGAAACTCCCATTCACAGCTCATCTGGGGTAGCACATGATCCAAAAGGGTTTCCTGAGCCCCCTTCCTTCCCACCCATGCTCAGGTTCCTTACTGGAACTGCCACACCGACGAGAAACATTGTGACAGGGGGTCCCTGGCTCTCAGTCCAGCTGCATTATCAGACCCGCTTGACAGCTCGCTGCCTTGTGTGTCTCTGCAGCCGAAGCCATTTATTAATCTGCGTGATAGCCCTTTGCTAACTGTCAGGCACCATGCTAGATTTGGAAACAAAAACCTAGGCTATGTCCCTGCCCTGAAGACATGGACAGGCAAGTGGGAATCAACCCCCTCCCCACCTACCCTTCGCACCCCCACAGAAGAAATCACAGAAGCATGTTTATCTGCATGTAGAAGGCTCTTACATATTTGCTTAGCGAACAAAGAAATGCCCAGTACCCATGTGAGAATAGCTGGAACTCCAAATACTAAAAACCAATAATCATCTGTATCTTGCTTCTTAAGTATCTAGATAGTATCCCAGTTGCACAAGCCATTGAAAGTTGAAAACACAAGTTTTAATTCAAGTTCTAAAAAAAAATGGCCCAGATACATAATTCATTACTACTTTGAGAAACATTTTGAAAAGCATAATAAATTACCACTTGAGCCATGATAACTAAAGCACCAACTTAATAAATTTCTAATTGTGGGGGTATAGCTCAAGTCCTAGTTTCAAATAAGACATTAACAATCAACCCAAAAAGTTTTCTGAAATAAATCTAAGTCATGAATATTAATGCATATTAAAAAATTCAACCACAACCTTATTAGTAGCTATGAAAGAAATAGTGATCCTGGTAAAATATTTTCTACTCTTTCATACTGTTTAATAAATATTTGATGGTGATAAGATCTTCAAACCTTTCATGTGTTTTTTCTCAGCCTCTTCTTCCTGGTAGCCTTTTCTTCCCTTTTCCACTACAAATACCTATGTTACTTTAAATACTATTTAAGAAAGTGAAATCATTATTAACTATCTATTCCTTCAAGAGTCACTTATTGAGAAGATACAAGTATCAAGGGTAATAAAGAACAACGGGCCATTGTTTATTAGGGGCAGGCAGACTCAAATAGGCATAATTATATGATATAGGAACTGTGATACATGGACACCTCTGAAGAAGAGGGTATATGATCTCCTGGAATGAAACATAATATTTCATGAACCTGGACAGGACCTCAGATGGGCCCGCCTCAAATCTACTGCCAGGCACTACAGGATACTCCAGAAAAAAAAAAAAAAAAAAAAAAGGCAAGGCTATGTCTACAGGAGCTCTAAACAAGGGAGAAATAGACACCGTTAAATCTGATTCAGGAGCAGATTGTGGAGAGAGCTATAAAAAGAGCTCAACACAGTGTGCTCCTGGGGCTGGGAGGGGGAGAAGTGTTCGGGGAGGAGCCTGGGGAGGCAGGCTTCAAGGCAGATCAGGGCTCTGACCGGGGAGGCGGATGGGACACAGTGTACATGAATTATTCGTGCTCTGCTCAAAACTACCGCCCTTCTGACACCTCAGAGGCCTGGAAAGGAAACTTAGGGCTTCTGTGAACAGAACAGATTTACCTCCCCATCTGTGGCGTGTGCGTGGAGGACGGCATATGAATAAACACATACTGCATCCCTAGATCAGATCCTGGGCAATCCGGATGGAGGTCCCACTCCCCACAGAAGCTTCGGAAGGTGGAGGATGGGTCAGGGAACAGGACGAAGCCTGCTCCGGAGATCCACCTGCCTCGCTGTCACACTGTCACATGTCACCAGGGCCTTGACACAATTATTTCTCCCCTACCTCATGATTTCCTTCTGCTAAAAGCTACCTTTTCTCCTGAGCTTCCCTCTTTAAAAATCCTTTTCATAACATCAGCAATGCTCGGCATACTCTCATCTGAACCTGGGCGTGGCCAAGCCCAGAGTATTTACCAAACACACAGGCACTACCAGTATCCTGTTCAGCAGACGTGACCGCAGGGAGCCTTGTCCTCAGAGAAGAACAGCAGGGCACAGCGTGGTTAAAGGCTGATAAAGGGAACACAGGCTGCAAAGGGGTGGGGGTAGGGGGAGGTCTGCCCATGCGGTTCTCATCTGGGATCCGGATCCACATTCTGACCTCTCGTCCACCACGGCTTCCCATTGCTCTTTGGTGTCCAAAAGTGTCTGACGAGGTATAAAACTCCCAAATGTATCATGTTTTCCACAGCCTGTGTTTCCCCAGCGTCACTGAGATGCAATGGACATGCAGCACTAAGGTGAAGTGCACCGCATAGGACCTGACTTCCACACCGGGAAACGGTGACCACGGCAAGTTCCACGGCAAGGTCACGTGTCTCATCTCATACCAGAGGGATCCCTCTGCAGTGTCAGGAACGACGTCAGGGCTCTAACTGGAAGACGACTGGACTTGCAGGCAATGCAAAGGCAAACATTCCCTGGAAGTCGCTTCCAGCCTTCCCTGCGACTGTCACCCCGACCCTCTGGGCTCCTCTCCACAGTAGCTGGCACACCTCCAGGGTCACACACGTTCTGAGCTGCAGTTACTACGCTGCTACAGGTCCGAACTACGCTCTCCTGTGTGGCTCACCACGCACTTCTCACTTTGGCCTGGCTCCTGAGACTCGGTCAAAGCGCTCCCACAGGACGACAGTGGAAGCTCTCATCCGGGCACGGCACTGACCCGAACCTCAGAGGTGGAGGTGGAACATGTTCTCACCGGACACTGGGCCGGCAAACACACCCAAGCCCATGGGACACCCCGGCCTTGAGCAAACAGCAACACTTGTGATTCCGGCTGGGAGGACTGCAGGGTTCTCAACTCGTCCCTATTTGGAGGGCACTCTTGTGTCCCCAAAGGATTCTCTTTGCAAATACCCCTTTTCTTCTCAAATGTCACTTCTTTCCTAATAGCCTGCTTTGAAACATGCCCTCCAGCATCTCAGCTAGTAATTTTCAAACTGATCTGGCACCGTCCTATCACTACATTCTTATTATTCACTAAGTAAACAGGCCGGTTCCAACTCGGACCTATTTTCAGTCAGTGTTTGGAATGAGAACAGGGAAGGTAAGTGAAAGGAAGGTATCAAGGACTGTTCAACTGCCCCTAAGGAAAAATTCTTCATTATTTAAAACGTCCTGGATATAACATATAACCCTCTCTCCCCACTTCTCCTGCTACCTACATATTGGGTCTTTTATCACTTTATAGCTGTGAAAATCAACAAACCAGCAAGCCTGGAGGAAAAAAAAAAGATCTTCCTGCCTGGCTTAGGGTGTTAGTTTGAGTAAGAGGGTGAGAGTAACGAGGATAACAAAGATATCAGCTAGCCTTCATCGGGCTCTTCTGGTCCAAGCACTGTTCTATTTGTTTTATTTGTACCAATCT